GGAAGTTCAAATTTGGTATGCAGATAGGTAATTAGGTGAATATAAAGGAAAAAATCTGAAACTGGTAAATTGTTATCATTTTACTACAATTTTTCACTTTAATTGATTCTATTTCAACTTATACTGGACGAATACTAAAATTCTATGAAAACGTCGATAGCCACCAATTGACATTGATCCCTGGCGAAAATTCTCATCTTGTACTGGACGGAAAGTAATATTGTATGAAAACGTCGATCATTAACAATTTACGTTGACCCCTTCACATCAATGTCGATAACTAGCAAACTTCAAATATTGCATTGAGCGGTAAACACTAGTTGCTATAATTTAGATTCTGTCTAAAATATACTCGTACTTATAACTAGGAGTATAGTCGAATTTCGTATTTATTATGTTATTAACTTAGATTTGGTATTAATTATTGTTTCAATATTTAGCGCACATCAATAGTGTAAAATCATTATTTTTATAAATAATTATTAAATAATAGGCATTTCGGTATAGGGCGCCGCGGCGGCGCCGTGTGGGAGCGGTGCGATAAAACTCAATGTTTTGTTTCTGGATATCTAACCTATAAGGTTGCGATTTATGCTACGAAATTTATAGCTTTCTTAAATTATACTTATATATTTGTGATTATATTATTATTACATTATTTTAGTAAATACGTATGGTATAGACAATAGTTTAAACCAAAAATTAATAACAATTTTAGTATAGTTATAAGTAGGAATGTACAGTTAACTCGAGAATGAGAACTTATTGGTAACAAATTGTTTTCTTGAGAATTCAATAGATAACAGTCAATTTGTTACATAATCGTCTTTACGAACTATAATGTGTCAATACCAAGTTTCAGATATTAAATAATGTATATGTTGACAGAGAAGAATTCCGTATTTGCTTAACATATGCTATTACTATCCACAAATCACAAGGCCTTAGTTTTGGCAGTCCTCTTCTCAACATAGCCTCCTCTATATTTAATAAAGGGCAGGTTTACGTTGGACTCTTCAGAGTTAAAACCTTAGATGGAGTACGTCTTAACAATTTTGATCCAAGTCACGAGAGCTCTATTGTAGAGTACAACCATTTGTGGACGTTATACCGCCCCGATTTGCCCAAAAATTCCTGATACTGAATTGGCAATGCACTTGAACATTTAAAAGTTACAAGAAAATATAGAAAATAACACAAAAAAAGACAATTATACCCCGTAAATATACGAAAATACAGTAATTTATCAAAAATAATTTGGTATTAATTTAGTTATAATTAAGTACCTCGTTTAATTTATGTACAAAAAGTAATGATATCCCATCAAAAACATAAATGTGAAATGATAGCCGAGTTTAATATTATGATATATACCTTGATTGTTGACTTCTACGACAAAAGAGATGAGATCTAAATGGGTGCCAAGTTCAATGATCTGTCCTGAAATGTATTTATAACAATATAAAATATCATTTCTTCTTATAACTTAGGATAATATACTGTAGCCTAAGGTCTAACTTGGCTAGTTTTCATATACGAAATATACTGTAGCCTTCGCAAGTTCTAAACATGTTAGTTGTCGGTTCCTATTTTAATATTAATAGTAACTAGCAATCGAAAGTAATAATTGGTATATGAGAACTGGCCAAGTTAGACCTTAGGCTACAGTATATTATCCTAAGTTATAAGAAGAAATGATATTTTATATTGTTATAAATACATTTCAGGACAGATCATTGAACTTGGCACCCATTTAGATCTCATCTCTTTTGTCGTAGAAGTCAACAATCAAGGTATATATCATAATATTAAACTCGGCTATCATTTCACATTTATGTTTTTGATGGGATATGTATATGTAGATCACTAGTGGCTCTACGGTTGACTGACAGATAAACTATAAAGTGCTACATCCGCCACGTGTGCACCTTTTATTTCTATATATGTGCAAGTTTTAATAAGTAAATACAACGATACAGCTAAAACAACAATAAACATTTTACTTTCATTCCGTGTGTTTTGTTTTTCATTCTTACTTCACTTGCGGTAGATCCCAGTAATTATTTCTTTGATTTTATGAATGAAGGGTTGACGCGTTACGTGTCATTTTTTTTTTACATACAGTTTTAGATGCATTACTTTCACCATCGCAACTACACCACATAATTATATAATAGAAAGTATTTTATTATTATTTATTATATGACATATTTGACAACTAAGTGGGTGTGTACAGAGCAGACACAAACACCAAGTAACGCCCTATAACAAATATATATCAAATATTATTTTAAAAATAAGACAATAATCACTGCGTGCACACAGTTTTTGCCCGAGCCGTAGTCGAGGTAATGGACAATGTACAGGACTCCTTACATTCGGGCCGCTGGCCGGTACGACTGTTCCTTATTTTTAAATATTTATATTTTATATCGGTTGCTATGGTTTTGTTATTTATTCCCTTTTTATCTATTCCTTGTATTGCTCTTGCTTTCATACAGTTTGTTACGATATATATTTTTATAATATACTATTACTTTTACATATTGCATCTTTAATTACGACCATCGTTGGCTGCACCCACCCCACAGACCTATACACAGTCGCACACAGACAAACTAAAATACTATATCTATTGTTACACCTTAACAGTATTTATATATTAAAAAAATATGTACACATGTACATAATTACTAAATTGTATATATTTATTTTTAAACAATATATATAGTATCTAAAATTACTTTGCCAGTTCTTCTTTAGAAACTTTTTCTTGAACTGGACAAGCAAATAAGTAAAAATAAATAAACATAACAAACATGTATGTATTGTATGGACTATGGAGCTACCTGAGTAAATACATTCTTGATATTACCTTGAATTAATTTAATATATGTTTTTCTATTCAAACTTTTTTCTGGTTAACATTTCGTCGATTAAATAGAAAAATGACATTTTTCAAAATTATAATCTAGAATTGCCTCCTGTTATATAAGTCAATTAAATTAACCACGCCGTCTTAATCATTATCTAAATACTTTTAAAATCTTATATATACTTCTGTGTCAACTTCAAAACTTTAAACGAAAAAATAATTTAAATAAATTAAAACAAAAATGTACATTGTTGAATATTGTCATGTTTCTATTGAACTGTTCTGTATTTGTTTAGGCCTGGTCGGGCCACTGTTACAATGTCTGCCGCTACTGTAACGAGTCTCTGATAAAATAAATACATATACACAACACAAATACATAATTACCAGCAGGACAATGTCTAAATATAATATTATATTTGTATTTTTAGTCTCCTTATCGAGCTACATGTGATAATATCAAAACATTTCACATTCTGTAGGTATCGAAAAAACCAGACGTCGATAACACTACAGTAAATCCTATTCAGGAAAATGATAAACTCATAAAGATTGGTGCACACGGAACAAGAACCTACAACCAAACCGATTCAAGACATCCAACTAGTTAATAAGTTGTACCTGTAGCCTGTAGGTAACCCTGCCGTCCTAACACACGCCAACTACAGTCCAACTACACCTACCGCTGCCTCTATACGTTTCAATATATACATGCAGCACGCAACTCAATATGTCAATTGGTTGTCTCCTACAACATTAAATTAGATAAAACGTTTGATATGAAATGTATTTATATAATTTAATTGTAATACACATAATACAATCCTGATAAAGCCCATCATGTACCTGTGGAGAAATCTATACAGCCATATTTGACTTCGCCAGCAAAGTTGGAGAACGACTGCGACGATCTCCTTCTAGAAGTGGTTCCTGTTGGTCGCTTGCCGAAGCTGCCCGAAGTAACTTAGTCAGTCGTCCTTACGTACGTCGTACCACATGCATGCATGGCATACAATTTTATAACAAAGTTTCAGCACAAATAATAACAAATGAATCAGTCTATTCTAACCTAGCGGTTACTCTAAGGCTAATTGAATGGTCTTCAGGGAACGGGTATAGCTGATGGGCAGGTACGGACCGTGTAGCGCTGAAGTAGGATGCTGAAATCAGGGGCTCGCCTCGACGCCTCGACGCCTCGACACTTCTCTGGCGTCCATCGGCGGTGGACGGGCTTGGGGCCGTCGATATCCTTCGTTCGGTTGTCGCTCTCTCACGATGTATTTTAAAATATTCATTGGTTTTTGCGTCCGAATTTCCGTGATATCCAGTAGCAATACGTATGCTGATAGTTGGCTTCTTGTATTTGTCGTCTCAATACTTTTAGTTTGTTTGCTTTCCGTTGTCTCTTCGCTCAGTACAACACGTCAAATTTTCTCCAGCACTACTTTCTTTCATATTTCAATTTTTGAAATTTGTCATACAGATATTTTGTGACAGTTATTTTTTCTTACATATAATATGGTGTTTGAGTAACGAAGTAACAAAGAGGTAGATATGAAAATAAATTTCATTCCACACATGTCATTCTCTGGACAATTTGCTAATTTCTGCACCCTGTCCCAAAAAAAAACAAAAGATGACAAATCAAACACATCGAACTACAGGCCAATCGCTATCGCATCTCTGGTGGTGATGAAGGTGATGGAGCATGTAAACATAACTCCTTAAATAACTAGACGATCACGATTTATTGAGGGATCGCCAATATGGCTCTCGCCGTAATTACTCGACTGATGATCTTTTAGTGTGTCTCACACACTGCTGAACTCTTGCCATGAATACCGGAGAGATAGCAGCCTCAGTCAACATCTCTAGCACAGTTCACTTCTGTAGCTCGAAGGTCAAAGTGGCGTCCAAAGAGTTGGACGTGCTCAATAGTTCACAATTGTACACAACTTAAATAATCAGTCAGGTGTTGATATTGTGCGCTGGCCTTTAATTAATTATCATCACAACTAATTACATTATGTACGTATGTCCCAACAATGCGCCGCTAATCTAACATCTTGGTCTAAATTCAGCTGTAATCGTTTAATCAAACAGATTAAAAAGATTTCATGGATTCACGTCCAAAAATATATAAAATTCGGTCGTAGAATCGATCGCATCATATAACGTTGTTACTTCCCTGCCTGAAGATGAAACTGTTATTGCTGGTAGCGCTGGTGGGAGCGGTGGTGGCCGAGGAGCCGATCGGTCTGTACTACCACGAGAACGTGGGCATCCCTCTGGCGGCCGCCATCAAGAGGAGCGAGGAGGCCGGCGACTTCGACGGCTCCAGGATCGTCGGGGGCTCCCCCGCCGCCCTCGGAGACCACCCCCATCTGGTGAGTGACAATACATACTTTATTCCAAGTAAATTTTATAGTTCGAATATTCGTGATTATTATAATATTTAAATATTTCAAAGTGTCTCAGTTGTTAATTTTTATATTTAATAAGGGACCTATTACCCTGAGACACTCCTGGTTAAATCAACTTACTGCACCCATTTGGTTGCAATAACCAGGATGCTGGCGATAACCCTATTGCCACCTTCGAGTATAAAAAAAACAATCAGTATTCCAACTGAGATTTTGTTTTTATTTTACTACTTCTAGTCCACATCAGTCACCTGTTGCATATTCCTGAAGTAAGGGGTGTTACACCTCCGTTTCCTATAATTTCAAATGTATTGTATTATTGAGACTAATCATGAAATATTTTCTATTTCACCCAGGGTGGCCTGCTGATCACTCTCCAATCCGGTGGCACCTCTGTGTGCGGCTCCTCGCTGCTGTCCAACACGCGCGCCGTGACCGCCGCCCACTGCTGGTTCGACGGCCGCCAGAACGCGCGCCAGCTGACCGTGGTGCTGGGCTCCCTGCTGCTGTTCTCCGGCGGCACCCGCATCACCAGCTCCTCAGTGGCCGTGCACGCCAACTACAACACCAACAACCTCAACAATGACATCGCCATCATCAACCTCAACTGGGTCGCCTACACCAGTGAGTAGCCTTATTGCCTTCGCTAATATTGAGAATAACTTAATAGTTCTTGTACAATAATATAGTAACAGTCAAATATTGGATATTGTCTGAATAGTTTACTTGTGATTTCGCCCGAAGCATCTGGACAGCATTCAACATTAGTATAATTAACTTCACATGAGTTAATTTGGAGGTTTCAAGTCCAAGTCAATGATAACTATAACTAAATCGACTCCTCAATAACCTACAGTATCTTATTATAGTGGAGTATTGTGACCGAAATTTGCAACCATCAATAATATTTTGTCATCGTATAATTCTTCATCACCTGTTCGCTTGCAGACAACATCCAGCCCGTGAACCTGCCCACCACTTTGGCCAACAACAACTTCGCCGGCAGCTGGGCGTGGGCCGCCGGCTTCGGACGCACATCCGACAGTGAGCATTAGTTTACTATTATTTATATACCCATCTATATTATTCTCAGAGAACTAACATGATCTTGCTTGTTGCTCTTCAGCGGGAAACTCTTTAGTTTCCTATTTAGTTCTCTCAGCCTTCGCTGGTAATTTATAATGATGACAATTTCAGACACCGGTATCGGCAACAACCAGTTCCTGAGCCACGTGCAGCTGCAGGTGATCACCAACGCAGTTTGCGCCTCCACCTACGGCACCAGCGTTGTCATCAGCTCCACTCTGTGTGTGAGCGGCGCCAACGGACAGAGCACATGCGGCGGAGACTCCGGCGGTCCTCTGTGGCTCTGGAACGGAAGCCAGCGCACCCTGGTCAGTGCCACAATTATTTATTTGAAATATATTAGTAGAGAGTTGATGAACATAATTGTAACGCTCAAATATACATGTATATTTGAGCTTACATCTATTTTATTGCACTCTACCTATGATTAAGTATTTACTTACAAATGTAAATGTTCACGTAGATCAGAGGTTATGGCGTTGAGCGTTGAGGTTTTCTCAAAGGACTACGGTGTCTATGTCCCAGGTGTTACTGAAGTCCGTAACACGTAATGTTTATAGCAATTCCAATTATTAACGCTGTAATTTTAATTTTCCTCAGATCGGTGTGGTGTCTTTCGGTTCCGCCTCCGGCTGCCAGCGTGGCTTCCCCGCCGGTTTCGCCCGCGTCACCTCCTTCCTCTCCTGGATCCAGGCTAGATTGTAAACGCGTCTGACAATTTGTTAAAGTTAATTTTAAGTTAATGTTAAATAAATATTTTTTTGCAATATAAACATATTTTATTATTTCATTTTACTAACAAAGGTTTACAACTAGTGTTACGGAAGGAAGGATGGACTGTATTAAGGCTGGTTAAAAATGAGACACGTTCTTAGGTGAGGTAAAATAGCTGTAATCAGCTCGCTAGCAAAAATATAAAGACAATATGGCATAAGAAAACAAACGGTATATAAAAACAGAACGTCAAAATATAAAATTCAAATATATATAAAAAACATAAAAACTATCAAAAAGGTTGCCATCGGCAACATCCTCCCCAATTTAGCTGATGGGCAACCGCACCAGCTTCTTGGGAGCTCAACGCAGTGTTCCGTCAGTGGTTTGACATCGATGAGACTTGCCAGGGTGGACCGCCATCGTTGCCAGTGTGGACCGCCGAAACTCTGCCTTTAAGTCAGCTACCTCGAGGAAGGTTGCTCTCTAAAATTAGAACCGACCGACGTCGACGACGCGTAGGAGACTGGGCATTTCTATCAGTCCTTGATATTGGTATTAATTTTAATGTTCTTAAAACCAGCGTGCACAAGGGAACATCAGAGACATGGGTCAAGGGACGTGAATTGGCTAAGACTTCTGCATCTACAATAATAATACTTGTCAGCATCCCTTCAAAAACTCGTAGCGTAAATGCAATGATGACTTCATGGCGCACTTAACATTTCTGACAAGGCGTTTTCAAGTGCCACTCATAAACGGTGTTACAGAAGGAATAATGCATAAACGAGTGTTGTGATTGCTTGCTGCATCTAAAATACTCGCACCGTATAGCTTACTCAATGTCTCAGGAACTCTCACAGTACTCAAGAAGGCTGTGCAGTTATCCCAAATAATTTTGTAATAGTGTCCCTCTTCTCGCAACGACTCAATATTGCAACATCTATTTTAATACCTCGAGATGTTGGCAGGCCACAGTAGCATATTGCTGCTAGCTCTTCGGTGCATGAAGATACCTGGCTCTAGCATCTCTTCAGTTGTTGAAGAAGGTAAATGTGTGAGGCTTCTTGAAGCTGCCGACCTCGTAGTTTGGTTACGGCTGCCAGTTGTGCCGAATTTAATAAAATAGAAATCGCTCGCGTGTCTGCGGAAGAGGTAGACATTTTAGTACCTATTCCTGTCGGGTCTAATTTAAAATTATTTTTATTCAATTTGTCTATTTCTAAAGTGTCAGAAGTTGTTACATAATAATTTACATTAACTTCTGAATCCGTCCCTGGTACATTATTTGACGAATGTGAAAAACCAAAAATGACCCAACCCAATTTAGTTAAGTATGCCACGGGTTCAGAGGGACCATTCTCTCGAACTTGTGAAGGAAGGGATAAAAACCAATTATCAATACCTATAATAAGAGTTGGTTGCACATTTTCATAAGAAATAATATTTTTCAAATCTGACAAATGAGAAAACCTTTCTAAGTCAGTTGCACGTAACGTCTGTCGTGAGACACCCAATCTGGCAATGGAACGCACTCTACGTAGTTTAAAAGGATCACCACCAGAATTGCGCCCTTTAATACATATGTCGACAAACTCTACTTCAGACAGTTTTGAGAGCCCCTCAATGCATTCAACCTTGAGGCTAGCCTTCGGTCCAGATACCCTTATAGCGCGAGAAATCTTAGAATCAATAAAGGTAGAAGTCGACCCATCGTCCAAAAGAGCAAATGTGTCGACACTACCCTTAGGGCCACTTACTGTAACCGCCACAACTTTTAACAATGGCCGTAAAGTCTTATATTCATTGACAGTCTGACCAATGAACGTATGAGCAACTGTCTCGTTAACGTTTTTATCGGTTGTCATTATCGGAGGACGAACTGCGGAATTCATGGAAATGTGCGCTCGTGGTTGGTCCTCCTGAGATATATCCTCTATAGTAACATAATTATTACTGACAGAGGACCCCGACACACCCGACAAAAAATGTAAAAGTTTATGATGCTTATATTTACACCCAGAAATATTACATAAATCCCCTCTAGTACAATATTTATATCTATGTAAACCTTTCTTAAGGCATCTGTTACAAACTTTTTCATTTTTACACCACTCAAACCTCTTTTGAGGTGTGACAGAAAGAATTTTTTTTTTTTTTTTTTTTTTTTTTTTTTTTTTTTTTTTTTTTTTTTTTATATATTTCTATTTTGACAATAAAGACATTTTCATGTATTGTCATGCGTATTGTCAACATTGTCACTCAAAGAAAATGTACTAGAATGTGATGAATTTTTCATTTTAGAATTTATTTTAGAATAATTATCGAAAGAACTACTAGGATGATTATTAATTATGCCAAATTGTAATTGAATATTTTCCTCCCTAGTCAAAAAATCAGCTAAAAGTTCAACTAGCATTTTACGACACGCCACAAGTACTAACTATGATATGGTGGTGCGGCCATCTTTGTGGCCTTTACTAACCACCACTGTTCTGTCTGGTAGTAGTGTAGCACACGAGTCATCGTTTACATTATTAGTAGCTGTTTTATCAAGCAGGCGAAAACTTAATAGTAAATAGTAGGACAGCTGTACGTACTGAAGTACGTTACCATCACTTAGAAATACTTGTTGCTAAAAGTTATAAAATAAAAAATATATATATATATATTATTCCTGTCAAATATGTCATAAGAAGAAAGCGGAAACAATTTATGGTTGAGGAATTCGTCTTACTATTGGTAAGACGAATTCCTCAACCATTCTGACGTTCTGCTTACTGTGTACTGTAGTAGTAGAGCAGGTTATCCTTCGCTGATGTTCGAAATACGTAATTACCTGGGTCTATGGTCAATAATATGCGGTTACGCTTTTAGCGGATATTATAGGGCCGCTATTACTTACTTATGTATCCAGTGTTCGTCTGGTAGAGGCAGCAGCAGGAAAAGAGATGACTGTCGTGGCTGTGTATGTATATATAAATAGTAATATATATATAGTCTTATAGTATTTACAGTTGTGAATGATAATAATAATAATATAAATAGAAATTATACAAGAAAAGAAGGGATTCGGTCCGCTGTGACAGGATTGTTATTTCTCTCCCTCATGTGTCGCTAGGCAACGGTGTGCCGCGCGCTATCCGTAGATTCGCCACACGCTGAAAGCGATCAGAGGGCCGCATCAGTTATGGCAAGGAATGATTAAAGTAACTCGCCGAAGACAGTAGATGGTGAAGCGAAGGTCCACGTAGAATATGTCAGACAACGGCCGAAGCAAGCAAGAACGGATGAAGATGGATGAAGAGGAATGGAACGCATGTAAATTACAATCAGAACGAACATTATAAATAAATATAGATTGAGTCTATCAGATTTAAAAGATACCCAGAAATATTTATTAATTTAATTGTATATTGTGTGTGTTTTTTTTTTTTTTTTTTTTTTTTTTTTTTTAAGTTCCAATGCAGTAACCCAATGTAAGGTTTATTACGAATATTGTAAATAGCGCCATCTAGTACGGAGGTCGGTGCATTCTAAAGCCTCAGTCGTCCATCATAATCAGTGCTTCTTACACTTGTGGTCGAGCTCATAAGACTTCCTTTATTAAAGCATACAATAATAATGCACAACAGAAACACTATATATAATCATTTGTATAGTACTACATACTGTGATGACTTCATGGCAAATTACCATTAGCGCCATCTGTGTGAGCGTAGTGTTAACACTCAATTTCATTCGTCACACACAATTTGTAGTAACTTAGTGGGTTCACCGCGTGAACTCATTCAGCGTGTAATTCATTCCCTTATTTATCCCTGTCTTAGACGTTATTAACTTTATTAACAACTGTATACATCATAATCTATCGATACTCCAAGCATATAGAGGTAATTCTATTCCACTAAGGAAAACTTCAGTTTCACAGTGCCAATAATTGTCAATTGTCTATTATTATTAAATAAGTATACTCCGCATAGAAAGAGGTAATCGTAGGTAGTGTGTGTGCAAAGAATTATTATTAACACCACTACAATATACATTGCCACTAACGGCATAGTTCATTGCAGTAATAAATCAATATTACAATTAATATCAAATAATAACAATTGTACACGGACGAATCATCATCGTCACTATAGCGCCACCTATAGCGCTATATATCAAACAACAACAACTGACTAATTGTCAAACCAGACTAGCAAATACAGATAAAGGACGGCTATTGCACAATAGATGGCGCTTAAAACCACAAATGGGAAGGAAGTTAATCAACCGGACAACAGATGGCGCGCAGACAAAAGTAAAAGGCGATGAAGTTTGATTCTGATCACTCAATATATATGTAATGGGCTACAACTATAACCTCCGGTTAGGTTAGGTTAGGTTAGGTTAGGTTAGGTTAGGTTAGGTTAGGTTAGGTTAGGTTAGGTTAGGTTAGGTTAGGTTAGGTTAGGTTAGGTTAGGTTAGGTTAGGTTAGGTTAGGTTAGGTTAGGTTAGGTTAGGTTAGGTTAGGTTAGGTTAGGTTAGGTTAGGTTAGGTTAGGTTAGGTTAGGTTAGGTTAGGTTAGGTTGGGGCGTGGGTCGGGCAACCTCCTAGTATGGGCCTGCCATTGGGAGGCTTCCCCATCCTCGTGGATACGTCCGCGGGGAACGGTGGCCGAGCAATGGTTTGGTTCTGGTACGCCCCGGGCGGGATAGTAGTCGTTCCTTCGGGATACGGCTACTATGTCGGCCAGTAGCCCGGCAGGTTGGGCGGGTTGCGGATTCCTATGCCTCGACAAAAGTCGAGGATCCCGGAGTCAGGAACCCGCCCAACTTCTTGTTTTAGTCTTCGTTTTGTTTGTTTCTTCTTTTGTTTTGGTTTGTTTTTTCTCCCCTTTTGTTTTTGTTTTAATTTATTTTGGTTTTAGTTTGTCTTTGGTTTTTCTCTGTCTTTGTCTGTCTTTTGTCTTTTCTGTCTTTTTTGGTTTCTTTCTTTCTTTTTCCGTTTCGCTGTTGGCAGGAGTCCGGGACCACACCCGTAA